TAAGACTAGTTTAGTACAAACTAAAAAGAGAATTAGTGAATGGATTCATCTGCTTTTTTCTCATATTGCAGAGCTGCATTCATTTCATGGATGTGTGCTTCAAGGAACAGAACTTCAGATTCTGATAAGGTAACTTTTCCTCTTTTACCTCGTGGAAATTTCAGGAAACTAACATATGTAATGTGTGGTGCCACAGTGATTATCTGACTAAAAGATCTTGTAAAAATTTGTTAGTTAAGCTCACTATAGCATTTGATACCTTGTTGATGACACACAATGAAACACACGCAACGCTATGCTTGCAGAGCAATAGTGTTGGCCTCTTCTGTCCAAAAGTGGAATCAGCTTCAACAGATTGGCATCCTTCTGGCAAAAGTGCACACTGATGAGCCAAACAACATTCTCTGGCCAATGAGTCACAAAACCATGATGGTCAGAAGCAGCCCATCTTTTAGATTTCGGCAATAGACTGATGATCACTTTGTCTGTGTGCCATAGTTCTTTAGAACATAAAAACCAAATGCCTTTCATTCTTTAAAGAAGAGTAATGGGGGTGATTGTGGACATCTAGAGGCACTATTCACATACTTGTTTAAAGTTTAAACTGTTTATGGGAGAACTTCTGTGGCAACTGAAAAACCTCCTTGTTAGAGGAAAAAAATTGGGTGTAGAACCAGGAAGTTACTGCTTGGCTTGATTCTTGAGTGTGTTAAGCCAAAGGCTGACTGGTCAAAGAAGCGACCTTATGAGTCATCAGATGCAGAAAGAAACTCTCATGTTTGCCCCTGGCATATGCTGAAATGCAAAAGGGATGTATAATGGGTATGTAATTTCTTTTGCTTTGAGAAGAAAAAAAAATGTTGAGAATGGAGCTGAAGGCAGAGCTTCTGGTACAAAGGGCCTTTGAAGTCAAAGCTATTAACCTCTTAAAATATGACTCAGTCCTCCACATAAACTTATTCTGGGCAACAAAAACTTGATTCTCATTGCTATGTCAGGCTTTCAAAGGCCTTCTGCTTAAATCATAGGCTGTCATGTTTCATCTGCAAAATGGGTCTGTAATACCAATTCTCCTTTACTTTTGCCCCTGCTTCCTCACTCTGGTTAGTGAAGAGGAAATCAGTAAGTTCTCTGCATGTGAAGAGGTATTTTCTCTTTAATAAATAAGCATATAAATATGTACCAGAAATGAGTATATTGAGGGAAAACACGTCAGGAGTCAAATCTTGTGCAATAAAACAGGAAGCTTACAAAATATATGGACAATACCCCCTGAAAGATTCTCTATGTGAGTGCTTCTTTCAGTGAAGGAATTTGGTATCACCACAGAGGTGTACAGTTGTAGCATTATAAGTCTGATGGTGCTTTATAAGCCTATGGAGAATAGGAGCCTCATCAGAGACTGACTGATATCTGTGATAAGTTACATACAAAATTCATAAAACACTGGAAAGGTTTAAAAGGGAAAGATATCAAAAGTTCTGAGCAAGAGGTTTATGCAAATATGAGCTCTATCAAAGGAAAATTATGGTATATACTCATAAGTAGGTCAGCTCTGAATCACTAAATTCATTTGCAGTATTGGTTTAGGAAAAAATATTTCATATCTTTAATATTTGCAAGTCTCTCTCTGTCCATATTTACACAAGTCAGTTTAGGGTAAATGATCTCAAATATCCTCACAGCTACTCTCAAAGAAAGTTCAGTTACCCTTGAGCAGCCGATATACAAAAGCTTATTGTTCCAGCACCTACACGTATACTGCTTCCTTGCAATAAAGTCTGAGTAACATCTCTTTAACACAGAAGTCTAAAATGAGCACTGGATTCAGGTTCCTAAAAAGTGAGGGAGAGTCTTACATTTAAATTCATCTTTCCAAAGTTGTAAATGAGAATCATCCATTAATGTTGCAGGATGAAAAACTGTGGATGAAGAGTTGCAGGCTGAAATTATAAACTCCAAATTCCTCCCACACCTAAAGTAGATGCTGTATGACCTGTTCAGCACTACCTGGCAGAGATCCTGGAGTTAAACTTTCAGTCATAATAAAACATAAGGAAATTGGAGAAACATGTCAGATGTTAATATGTCATAGTACTGTAATTAAAAGGCTAAGATTCTCACAAACGTTCATAATCTGTGCCTTCTTTCTACCCTGTGCAGACACAAAATTGTTGCAGTCACTCCCACATACTAAAATGTCTCTTCAATTAACATTCCTTGTCAAAGTATGTGGCCAGATGACACACACTGTGCTGTACAAGAAAAGGAAGTTTCTCGACAGAATTATTCAACTGATGGATCTGCTTTCTTCCGTTTTATTTTATAATTGCACTGACGTTGAGGGAGAGATCCTGCTTTGTGCAAATACTAGTCCATGTAGTCCATTTCCAAAGCTACATCTTATAAAAGCCAGAAAAAAGGAATTCCTCAGCAACACATCCTCAATTTGAAGCAGCATGGTGAGCTTCCCTGGAAGTAATCAGATAGGGAGGCAACAGAGTACCCAGTTAGGTTTCTCTATTTGGCACCAAGGCAGCAAATTCCACCATGGTGTAGTTCAGGTAGAAGCCTCCAAATTAGTGAATGTTCTGGACTCCTTGATCTGGTTTTCTAATGCAAGAAACGTAATTTTGTGGTGAGGAAAAAGGCAGCTCCTTGTCCATCTCAGAGGCGTTGGCATGCAAGGGAGTCAGCCTGAAGCTACTGAGCAGAGGCAGCACAAGCACTAACTACTAACTCAATAAGTCAGGCTGTCTCTCAAACTGTGAAGCAATCAGAAAACTAGGGACCAATCTAGGTGTACTCAGGGAGTGAAAGAAAGGAAAAAAAAAAATCTGGGGACACAATTCTGTAGGTCACAGGGGTCCATTATTTTTGCTGCTAGCAGAACAACTTCTTTGCTAAAATGGCAGCAAGCCAAGGGCTTTTCTTCAGTCTTCCCTTACATTTTAAAGTCCTTTGTTGCAGAAGAAAGAATAAAAATGCAAAGCTGTTTCATGCTTAATAGAGGGCCTTTAATGACATTCAAAAACTAGAATTCACAAAACAAACCCAAAGATCACCAGTTGAACATCAGGACAGGTAATGAGAACTTGCTTTAGTATCTCAACAAAAAAAACCAAACAACTGTTTTTTTTTTCTTCTTTTCAGTTCTCAAGTTTCTTGGGTAAAGGAGTTGCAAATTTGTGAGACTTGACCTGATCTAACATGTTCCTGTCATTAGAGGTCAGCTGTGCACTCATACTGGCAGATGTATGCAATGGCACACCATTGCAATGCTAATACATGCATACCATTTTCAAGTTGTTCTTGTTCAAATTTCATACAGTGAATCCAAGCAAGCAGTATCTAAGTTCTGAGTTATAGTCCATTTTTATCATGGTAGTGGGTTTTAAATTGATTTTCAAAGTAGTGACCAGTTTCCAGTCATATAAACCCTAGTTACTAACTCCACCAATGGCCCTTGAATTGCTATTAATTTCATGCACTTACAGAATTTGCAATGCTTACAGTTTGATTAAAAACTTGAAATGCTGACATTTTAGGAATACTACTTAAAGGGGTCATATAATTAGAATTTCATCTAACGAATTTTAATTTGGAGATGGCCTTGCAAATTTGGATGTTAGAAATAATTCACAATTGGATTTCTCATTTAGAAACTTCCTTAGCTATAAAAAGTGAGCTATTAAAAAAATTATTTAAAATTTATTCTGAAGTACCATTTCATGGCAAAGGGAATTAAAAAAAAAAAAAAGGAAATCAGGAGGCATTAAGAAATTCTGATTTCTTGAGAGAGTTTCAGGAATTTATTCATAGGATTTTCTGACCAAGCTTTATGTAATAGCAAAGACTTGATGACCAATTAAATCCTTTTTTATTCTCTGTAGAAGTGTAATTTGGCCAGAAGCCTTAAGCCGGAAGCCTTCAACAGTCTAATCTCAGTCTTAACAAACTGAAGCTATAGTTGTGTCCAGATTGTAGCTCTTTCTAACTGAATCAGTAGGCAAAGGAACATAGTCACTATAAATATTTGGAATTTTCATCCAAAGACTTGCAGCACTTTCTCAGAGAAGGCAACTACAGCTAAATGGCTCATGCTACTAGGTGATATCATTAAGCCCATTAACAAATCTGCCATGGCAGACAACAAGTCACCTGATTAGCACAGGAGACACCTTGTTCATACTGGATATTTCTCTGGAAGCAGATGTCCTTTCATCAGCACATTGCATACAGGCAACAGAGGTCCTGTTGCATCCTTCTGCTTGTTCGTCTGAGTGGTGGTAATCAGTTAATTAGCCTTGGAAACCTCTGTCTTTCACAATGATTATCAGTTAAGGGCAGTTGGGGGTGAGTGGCTGTCACTGCTGTCACGTAAGGACAGTTCTAGAAAGGCTGCTTACAGGAATATGAAAAAGTGCTGAGGGGCAGGGAATTTGACTGGATAATTATCAGTTAGATTGAAAAAAAAAATTAAAGTAATCTCCCTTGATGCTCAGGGAGAACACCATTTCTTTTGATAGTGTTGTTCCAAACAGCACACAGATGTTTCCTTTTTCCCTAAAAACAGAATTAACAGGGACAATGGTTTTCTGAATAATAATATAAAGTTAACTGATGTTAAAGGTGCTTCTCTGAACAGTTGATGCATTTCTGAGGCAGACAGTATGCAGCATGAGAGATTGCTTAGAACAAGATCTCTGAAATCAAACTATTAACTTGGTGAGCAAAAAAAAAAAAAAAAAAGTGGGCTTCTTTTCTACTACGTGCTCTGACTCCAAATCTGAAAGAAGAAACATAGCTCGAACCAGCCTGGCTACATCAAAGGTTCTCCAAGTTCTGCCCTCCAGACAAATTGGTCCAGACTACACTGCTAACTCACAGTGGCAAACAGATTGGATGCAGGCAGTTTGAAAAGTTCTTTGCTTCAAGCACATATTGAGATTACTGTTCTCCCCCAGACTTGTGCAGCCTCATACTGCACAGTTTCCTACCTTTTCTCAGCTTTCACACGGCTTCACATCATGATTTCAGATTAACTGACACACGGGATGGATGAGACACAGCAAAACTGTCCCCTGAAATTACAGAGATGGATTACACATTTAGTGCAAGGTATTTAAGCTTGGAAGTGTTATGAAATAGGAACTATTTCTATGTTGAACTGCTATCAAGTAGATTTCGCATGGTTTTCACATCTCTCTGCTGCATTTCTGATACCACACAGTAGATGGCAGGAGCCAATAAAGAAATGTCACTGCCGTTTTTGCAAAAGGAAAGTTGATCACATTTATCTTCGTTGAGATTCTCATGTTTAATTCAAAATAATTTTACAGCAACCTTTTAATGTTTTTGGACATTCTTAATGTTCATAATATTTCTCTTGTTGTAAGGTTTATTTCTTTCTAATGTAACTTGGATTATTAAAAGATTAATCTTTCAAAATTGTGTTGATATTACAGATTTTTTGATGAGTGCTGAGATTTACAGGATAAGAGTAATAAATTACTTAACTTAAACTACACTTAAAGTTTTGGTGTGATGACATATGAAGTATTTACTTCCATGTTACTTGCATTTGATTCCATTAGTCATACTAGAAACAGCAGAAGAGAGACACATAAAGCATAAAAAAGAGAAATAAAAAACATATCAGAACTGATTATAGTTTGGCAAGCACAGTTCCAAATATTCAGTTTCAAAGTCTGAAAAACACTAAGTGAATCCCCACTTTAAAGCTTAATAAAAAATAAAATATTTTACTTTCTGGCCATCAGTCCAGATTCCTAATAAAATATTTAATGTTATTTTCAAGCCTTTGAACATCAACTGAAACATTATAGAGTGTTCTCAAGATTTCATTGATTTCTATAGGGGAGATAAGATGAAGTGTGTGCAAGTTTTAAAAAGTGATAAGCAAACTTATAACTATGAGGAACATAATGATCTATTTTCAGAATTAGTCTTGCAACCTACAGGGATCCAGTAGAGATTTATTCTGTGAATATAGTACAGTCCAGCTGGCAGTCCAGGGACTGTGCACTATGCTCAGCCCATCTCTACTACCAAGAGGAGACAAGCGAGTGTTTGACTGTGTGCACTGTTTGTCCAAAGGCCAAAATCTCAACTTGTATTTGCAGAAGCCAGGGGCTTTATGACTGAATTTCCATGGTAGGAGAGATCCTTTGATGCAGGAACATGGCCCAGCACTTACAGGCCCCATCGGTATCTGAACATGCCGTCTGTCCTTAGAGGCTGAAGGAACAGGACTGTGCTGATTTAAGATATCAGAGAACAGATGATTAAATGTGGAATCAAGCAAGGATTAATGTGAATGTTACCTTAACTGAATATGGGACTCCTGTAAAGCCATTATTTCTGGCTACCTGGCTACTATCACCACCAGGGTTATCAATTATCTCAGGTGTGACTCACATCAACTTCTGGCTAAAAGGAAGAGCTATCACCACCCCTATTTAGTGTGAACACTATCAAAGGGAGGGGATTGATTTACCTGTTACTGTAAATTTGCCAATGCAAGCCTAACTGACAAATCTGGTTTAACATGAATGAGGAATTCAAAAGAAATAATTTGTTCCTTTAAGTACAAAATTCTAAAACAGATTCCTTGACAATGTGTACACATCCTTGTAGATAAGCAATCCCTCTCAATCATACCTTCTGACTATGTGTACACCAGAGCAGTACTCAGCTGGGGCTCTTGAGCCTGGAGAAGAGAAGGCTCTGAGCAGAGCAGCCTTCCAGCAGCTGAAGAGGATCTACAGGAAGGCTGGAGAGGACTTTTTATAAGGGCAGGTAGCAAGAGGACAAGGAGAAGTGGTTTTAAACTGGAAGAGGGTAGGTTTAGACTACATATTAGGAAGAAATTCTTTACTGTAAAGGTGGTGAGACACTGGAACTGGTTGTGAGGCTGTAAATGCCCCCTCCCTGGAAGCATTCAAAGCCAGGCTGGATGGGACTTTGAGAAACTTGGTCTAGAGGGAGATTTCCCTGCCTATAGGAGGGGGTTAGAACTAGATGATCTTAAAGGTCCCTTGCAACCCAAATCGTTCTGTGATTCTATGTTTCTAAGTCTGCTAGATCCTCATTACAAGATGAAGAATCCTGGAACTCGTTGTTTTCTAAGAGGATCCCACTACTTGTTTGCTTATTTAGTTGTTCAACTGCTGAAGACAGGAATGTGTTTCATTTCCATTTCTGTGGTGTAGGAAGGTACCTGTTCTCATTCATATGCAATAAAGAAGCTGTAACATCTAGGTGAAGAGGAGCAAAAGGTCAATGTTTAGAACCATGGTCACTCATCCAAGCTTTTCAGGGGAAGGGAGGGAATTGGGCATTTTGTTTAAATCTCGTATAATAAGTTATTAGAGCCTCAATGGACTATTAGCATTATTAGCTTTAGAAAGAAAAGATATAATCTCATGGAAGAGGAGAGAATGGCCTGAGAGACAGTCAAGAACAACATCATACAGTGGAGTAGAACTGATGGCAGATCTCAAAAGTGGTATTTTGCCTTATGCTTCCATCAGGACTGCTATTCACACAGAAAGAGAACGGATAGAAGACTGACTATCTCCACTTCAGACATTTTTGTATTTCTAAACTATCATTAAAATGTCACAGCCCTGCTGCAGTCCTGTTCACTTCAGGATTTTCCCTCTTATCACAGCAGTTGGTAGGTTTGGGATCCTTGCTTTCCTTGCCATTGTGCACAATTTAACATTGCCATCAGAGGAAGATAATGACTGTATATTACAGAAAGTTTTTTGTTTTCAAGTTCATATGCCAGAGTGTAACTGAATCTGTTGGTAATTTAAATTATTCCCTTAACGTTTAGAGGTTTCACAAAGCTGTCTGCTCTTCCTTTAGCAATAATTACAGACTGTGGCAAATCAGCCCACCTTCCTCAAGGAGACTGCAAAGGCCGTATTTACAGTCAAATGTTCAGAGAAAAAGGACTGAGAATTTTTTGTTACATTTTCACACCTCAGTGCTCTGACAGGTGACCGCCCAATTTCTGAATTGAAATCTATCATCAAAATTGGTATTAATTAGTTGCGTATCAGCTCCTGGCAGAGGCCAAAAGTTAAACAGGTCTTGGAGACCAAATTTTTTCATACTGTTGCAGGAGGTCTCTGCAGATCAGGGTAAAGTTGCATTCAGCAAAGGCTGAAGAAGATTGGACACGTGGAGAGCCCTTGCCATTCTGATGGACAGAGCAGAGAGGGAGGGAGAGCAGGGTAGGCAGGTGAAGCCATGCATGTCAAGTTGAGACCCAATCTGGATTCCCTGAGAGCAGCTGAAGGAATGGCCAAGAATAATTATAGGGATGTGGGAGGTATTTGCTTAAATGTTCTCTATGCTGTGTCTTGCTCTGAATTCAGAAGACATGAGACATCCTTCTCAAACCCCAGGCAGCAGTGAGGATCCAGAAAACATTAGTTCCCTTTCTTAAGAGTCTTATGTGCTGTTTTGATGCTGTGAGACACAAACCACATGGTTGTTTCTCTACCTTTAGCAGAGAGCAAGTCCTCCCTACCTTGCAGGGAGTATGCAGAGGGGCAGCAGCTCAAAAATTCTACTCTCTACTTCAGAGACAGCCTCTTTTTCACCTGTGGGGCATACTGGAGATACCTTTTCTGTCCTTTTAAAACTCCTGAGACACTTTAGTCATTGTCTGTGGTGGGCAGACAGAGGAGAGCAGCAGAACATGAACATGGTCTGCAGAAGATACTTTTCTGCAAATTGCCTTCATAGCTACACAAGGGCAGCAAAGTGCGCCAAAGAGCTGATGTGTATATCAGGGCAAGAGAGTGTCATAGGGCATCTGAGAGATCTCAGGTCAGTAAAGGGGGTTTTTGTGTCTGTGCATGTTGTGTATTCAAGGCTATTCAGACTAAATATAGCTCATGAGCAGTTTCACATCTCTGATACAGGGAGGCATGCTGTGACACTTCTTGCCTCGTACTTACACTGTAGATAACTGGAAGAAAAAAAACCAACACAAAAACAAATTTGAGAGCTTTCAAACTGCAGCCAGCTTCAGTCTAAATGGGATAGTCTTGAAATCATTGGGATTTATGTTTAGAAATCTAACAGGGACGCTAAGTACTATATCTGGGCCTGCGACTCAGCTGTTGTCTAGTCTGGGTCCACAGCCTCTCAGTGTATTCTAAACATGTGTTTTCCTATTAAATTTATAGGAGTGTAGGGAAGATCAAGCAGTCAGTGCTTAAAAGCTTTGCATGCTGTGTGGGCAGATTGTTTTCTCTCCACCTCTAGAACCGTCCCATTTGTTTCCCAGGATTTCTTCTCCTGCACACTGCTCTCTATTCTCCCCATCAGACTGCTCATGCAAGTTGATGGTGCAGGTTTACTTTCACTTGTGTTTTATTTCCAGTTCCATGCCTTAAGTGATTTCACACAAAACTTTTAGGTGCACAGTTGTACGCCAGCAGCCTCTGTTTGCACGCTGATATGAAGCTGTGCATTAGCACCTGGATCACTTTTGGGGTTCCGGTTAGAGCAAGAAACCCTCTGTTCCTTTACAGCATTCACTTTCCACAACTTAGGCTGATGAATGCCTATCATATGAAGGGACCTCTATCAAGCCAATATTTATTTCCTGTAAGCTTAAGCCCTGATTACTTAAAAAGCCATTGCATTCTTTCCACCCTCATCAAACGTTCCTCTCATGTCAGATGAATGCATTTATTTTCACTAAAGACACAAACCTCAGCTCTGTGAGCATTTGGTTTAACAAACTGCTTCACACAGCTGTTTCTCCAATGGGCTCAATATAACTGCACACACTACAATAGACGCTGTTCCCCTTCCTCTTCCTCCACCTTGTAGCAACTTATTGAAATAGTATAGACTGTATAATCAAAATGTTATAATCACAATATAATTGTATAATCAATAGATATCAAGATGTTATAATCACAATATAATCAAGAGAATTAGGCAAAATAAACAACGATCACAAAAGAGAATAAGTGGAAGAGCTTACCCTCCAGCTGAGCTCACCAGAAGATACCAAAAGAGGGGATCTCCA